CAAGAGTTGACACTGGGTGATGTTGTCTAGCTACCTTCCCTCTTGTCCAGAGCTTCCCAAAGTGGTCGAACTCGACCCTCTGGGGTCGATGAGACTCTGCAGGCGATGAATAAAGACCTAGGGATCGAAAGAGGATAAAAAATGGCCCCTATGATAAGGTTGACCTATGCAACTAACTGCCCTACGCCTAATAGCAACAGTAAGCGAATGACTTTCGTTCCTTTTCCAGAATCTTCTACAGTGTATAACTTTACACAGTAATGAAAAACACATGTTTTATTTCATGCTTCTTAAAAAAATATTAACTTGGGAGTCGATGACAACTTTATAAGTTCGTCAAGGGGATTGGTAACTTAAAAACATTTGGAAACCCTACTCTAGTCTATCAGCCCCCAGTGGCACAGCGGTATGTCTGCGGACTTATAATGCTAGAATCCGGGTTTCGATACCCGTGGTGGGCAGAGCACAGATAGCCCATTGTGTAGCTTTGTGCTTGATTACAAACAGTACAATACTAGTCTTCACTTCTGAAATAAGGACGGCTATTGCAAATATCCCTTGAGTAGCTTTGCACAAAATTCAACAAACAAACTTATGAATCTTAAGAACTCCATAATAATATCAGAATTACAACCTGAATACCATATTTTATTGTCAATAATTTGTTTTAAAATTTTAATAAGTAATTTTATAATATACCTTCTCCAGTTTTAATATGATTTATAACAACTTTTAGTTTAATTATTCAATAGTTATTTTCTTTATTAGTACACCCGATTTTATTTAAAATGCCTTTATCTGAATTTCTTATTGCTATATGCTTGTTTTTTACTTATTTTTCATGTTTGGAATTATATCTTTTTTTATAGATTTTCTTAGCTTATTTAAGTTTTCGAAACGATTTTTTTATATTTTAGAAGAATTTTATGTATATTTATCTATTTGAGTAAATGAATATGTTTGTTCTTGAATTTCGCGCAAAGCTACACGAGGGCTATCTGCGCTAACCGTCTCTAATTTTGCAGTGTAAGACCAGAGGGAAGGCAGCTAGTCATCACCACCCACCGCCAACTCTTTTTTTTTTTACCAACGAATAGTGGGATTGAACGTCACATTATAACGTCCCCACGGCTGAAAGAGCGAGCGTGTTTGGTGTGACAGGGATTCGAACCCGCGACCCTCAGATTGCGAGTCGTGTACCTTAACCACTTGGCCAAATGAATAGGAATCGAGTTTTTCAGTTGCCCTCTTTTATATTTATTGCAAAATTTACCAATTTTTAAATTTCTATTACTGCCTCGGATGATAAAATTGAGAAACAGACACTTTTAAGATTAACAAATTTAGTTGTTATATTGCCAACTTTACATTCTTCAAGAAAATATAGATGGGATTTTTATGATACTTAAGATATATTTTTTCATATTTTTTGAATTACCAATTACTTTTTCATTATTTAGAAAACTGGAAAAATTATATTGTTTCGAAATATTGTATCATTATTATGAAAGGGCCGCATAGTGCTACACTAATATTTTTAAATTACCAATATTTTATTATTATTCAGAGAAACGGGAAAATTATATTGTTTCTAAGTATTGACCATTTTTCTGAGAGGGTCTCATAGTGCCTCGACTCACAATCTGAGGGTCGCGGGTTCGAATCCCTGTCACACCAAACATGCTCGCCCTTTCAGCCGTGGGGGCGTTATAATGTGACGGTCAATCCCACTATTCGTTGGTAAAAGAGTAGCCCAAAGTTGGCGGTGGGTGGTGATGACTAGCTGCCTTCCATCTAGTCTTACACTGCTAAATTAGGGACGGCTAGCGCAGATAGCCCTCGTGTAGCTTTGCGCGAAAAACAAAAACAAACAAACTCATAGTGCCTCACTAATATTGAAGCAAACTTATTAAACTTATTGCCTTTCCCTCTCTGTTTTTTCCCTCCTTAGTTAATTATTGATTTTAATTTTTGTTTAGTGTGAATAGGTCTTTAATCACTCAAAACACATACATATATTTCTCACTCTAAGGAAACTCACATAGAATGAAAACAATTAATGCAACCCTGATCTAACGTTGTTAATAACATTATTATTTATAAAGATTACGTCATAAACCTACAATTCCCGATAGGTTATATATATATATCATCGATTTTTGAACATATTTTTATGCCTCAGGTTAGTTGTGAGTCCACGACTTTGTTGGTTATCGTACCCCTCACAATATGCGAGTCACATAAAAAAATGGGGGAAAATGTAGTATTTACATTGCATTTAATTCCGCTAATTACTGTTCTGGATCCCTATGGATTTTACACAGAAAATGAGTGATATAACCCAGTTTTTTTTTACCAGTTCTTTACAACGAGTGCTGTAGCAGGCAAAAAAAAACAACACAAAATTACTTAATATGGTGTATTACGTGAACCATACAGCTAGTGAACGGTATAAAGCAAAAATAAAAAGCGTTAATTTGAAGATTAGATGTACGTTTGGCGTTTTTGCACACTGTCACGTTTTCGTATGGTCAGTGTTAATAAATGAATTTGTAAAAACTCCCCCTTTTTAAAATCACTATATTCAGTGAGTATATGTGCTGATTAGCATAGTGTTGATTTTTGTATTATACATAATATTGTGTATACATATGTATCTGAGAGAGAAAAAACGGGTTTTATTGGAACGCCAATGCTAAAAGTTACGTCCAACAATCTTTTATAAAAAACAACAACAACACAATATGATCATAAAGAGGACCTAAATGTGACGTCGTGGTGATTAATAAGTGTTAAAAAAGTAACTGTTGCACTTCAACTGATCTGAATATTTGTTCCTTTATCTAAAGTTAGAAGAGAATAATCTGAAGTCAGCGTTCTAGAATGTTCGTGATGTACTGGATAACATCTATTATAAGTTTCGGGTTTTAGAGTTCCACGACTCTGTTGGGCTGGTGCGTGTGTGATTCAAATAGTACAGTTAAAATCAAAGACTCTTCAAAGTCACGTGTTTTAATCTGAATCCCCGTAGATTACATAGACAGAAAATATTCGGGTTAACTATTTCAAAGGAAACATTTATAATGTAAGAACTTTGTAAATCATTGCTTTCAGATGACTGTTATACAGGGTGTCCGGAAATTACATTAATAATTACTTCCTTGTGTTAATAAATTTGTTAAAATAATTTCCGGGCACCCTGTGTTTGCTAGTGTACTTTGTTTTTACTTTCTCCCAAAAATTCACCATAATGCAAGGTTTTCTTTAATAACTGGTTTTCTAATCAGAAGGCTATTATGTTTTGTCCACTTATAGAAACCACAATAATTTGAACATTTAGATATTATACGTAATAAATATTTGTATTCTGAAAACGTAGTGTTTTGATTGCTATCACGAAAAGTGGAGTTGTAATCATGACTCCTAGAAAGTCCTCATTTTGTTTTTATGCCACTTATACAAATTTGGGAACTGCACTTCTATGTTTTTGCAACTGCTTCTCTGATATTTGTTTAACACGAACCTTATAATCAGAATATTAACACCACTGCTTATAACATTCAGGTAAGATAATATAATATTTACTAATCAGGAAAATATACGGCCTCTAATTTCTTCCATGACAACAAGCAGAAGACACCTACAAAATGAGTGTTCTTTAGCCGAGATGGGCAAAGCACAGTTATTCCATTGTAGTTTGAATTTCGCGCAAAGCTACATGAGGGCTCTTTGCGTTAGCATTCCCTAATTTAGCAGTGAAAGACTAGAGGGAAAGCAGCTAGCCATCCCCACCCAACGCCAAATCTTTTACCAACGAATAGTGCGACTGACCGTCACATTATAACGCCCTCACGGCTAAAAGGGGCGAGCATGTTTGGTGGGACGGGGATTCGAACCCGCGACCCTCAGATGGAGAGTCAAGCGCCCTAACTATCTAACCATGTCGGGCCTTGTATTGTGTAGCTTTGAACTTAATAACAAATAAATAAATTAAAAACAAATTGTCAAACAGGTTGATAGCTAACAGAACCTGGACGTGCATATTTAACTGAATGTACAAAGAATTAGGAGTATCAAACTACTCCAAAGAGGAATTTAATTACTTGCGAACTATAAACAAATCTTATCGTTGAATCCTTACCGTGCAAATGCAAATATTTTAAAATACCGTTAGCAACGAGTGGGAATTCCTTTAAGGATAATTCACAAGTTCACTGTATAATCAAAATATTCAGCCATTTTCTTTATTTTTATACACATTACGAAATCCACGTGCAAAAATTATAATTTTACAGTTTTGATTCAATAAAGAATTTTGTTTACTGCAATCGATGTCAGCCAAAAGTGTGTGTAAAGAATAATCACTATATAGAAAAGTTGAAATTATAATATGGGTTTCAATGACACACAAAAAAAAACACCAACAAAGATAATGAAGAAAATAATAAATATGAGCAATGAAACCAAAAACGTTTTTGGCCAGTAATATTAAACATATTATATCGTTGAAAAAACATAAATAAATAAACCAAACCTGCTTGTCTTAATGCAGATATTTCTTCTTATTGCCCCCCCCCCCCCAAAGAGCCCAACGGCTTGTTCGTTTTGTACCGCAATGCTTATAATGGGTTTTATGCACTCTGTCCATCTCGAAGATTTTTCTTTGTTTGAAGTTAAGCACAAAGCTACACAATGGGCTATTTGTGCTCTGCCCACCACGGGTATCGAAACTCGTTTTTCTAGCGATACTTCGAGGAATCGAACCCCAAATTTTAGTATTGTATGTCCGCAAAATTACAATTGACCCATTTATTAGGGAAGGAAAGTGTTTCTCAAATATAACTGTCAATTTTTAGTTCTTGGTAAAATTATGTTAGCAAATGGCGTACGAGACAAGTGATCATCAGACAAATGTAGTTTGACATTTAATATTAAATAGGCATTGTATTGCTTTGTATAATAAACGGGTCGTGTATCATTTATAGATAAAAAGTATCGAATCAATACACAAGTGGACGTTTATTTCATCAGCACAGATTTACATCAAAATAACAAAAGTTTGTATGTCCGAAAGACTGCTAACTTTTTCAACTAATGATACGTTACTTAGAACACAATTTTAGTGTTATTTCAGCAAGGCTGAGTACATGATAAAACACAAGAAGACTGACCTCATAACCATTGAAAACAACAAAGTTAAAACCTACATTAAATGTATAAGTACTTTATTTCTTAGTGTTACGTAACGTTATCATCAGGTTTTATATTTTTCATGATTAATACTACTAGTACTCATGATTGATCATTATTTCTCTGGCACGTAATTCATCTATTGGCCATAAAAATACGTGACTCTGCTCCAGGATTTTTTATGACACAAGGCTTAGCGAACAACCTGACAGCATATTTAATATGGAACAGGAAATAGTTAAGCAACGAACGTAAATTTTTATCATGCACCTTAACATGTTTAATTTCGAAATAAAAACTTTTGCACACGTGCACGAAAGCATCGTTAATTGTTCTGTAATTGTTACTTTTTTAAATTTTATACCAGTCTTAACGCATTCCCTAAATTATGTTTGTAAATTTTCTTCTCTGTGATGTTTAAAGCAGGATCATCATTTAAATAATCAATTTCTGTCTTTTTGAAAAACTAATCTTGAACATAGTGTTATATGTAGGTTTCATAATCAGCCAGAAAGAGAATAATTAGCTGCTTTAAAAGCAATCCGTAAATACAGATAGATGGCTAGTAGTTATAAAGAATTATCTTAAGCTGTATATCCTATGTAAAGCTGCTTTAAAATAAATGCGATGTCTAGTAAATGCAGTGAATTACTTAAAGCATTATATCCATCTCAAGTTGTTTTACAAAGCAATCTGTAAAAGAAAGGCAATGGCTAGTAGGTGTAGCGAGATATCTAAAGCTGTATAAGTCATCTTAAGACTTTTCGTCAAGCCCATACAAATATTTGATAAGTTGGTCAATATTTGGTATGAAATTTATTAACAATGTAAAAAAAAAGGTGAATAAAAAATATTAAACGGTAAAGAAACGTAAATTGACACATTATTTGGTGCTTATTCTTTTAAGCAGTTGAAGCTTTTGCATATATTTTAACTTATAAAAAATGCTGACAAACTATTAGCTTTTCAATTTGACACAAAATTCATAGCTTCTGCAATACAAGAAATGAACACAATAATGGAAATCAGATTTATCTCTTCCTGAAAGATTATCACTCACAATGTATTAGGCTTGTGGCGTATTTTATTATAGTATTTTTGAACTAATAAAATAACATTCGTCATTGACCAAGTAAAAGAAAACCCACACGACAATTTGAATGATGAATATTATGTAATTCAAAATTGGATCGCAGAAAAACATACGCTGAACTAATTACTTTATTTAATTTGTTTTCAGGTAAAGAAATACACAAATACATACCCGCTGAATTAAATATTTTAGGCATCCTACTTCTAAGTAAAACCTCACAAATATATAATAATATCCGTCTTTAGTTGGAAGATTGTAAAAAAGGACACTAACAAAAAGCTAGCTGATATTATGAATAACTTTTGTGTTTTATTTGTTCTGTTTCAAGATTTCAGTGCAACTCCCACATAAAACTATTTTATTTCACACGATCTTTCGATGAAATTACTACGAAGTCTTATGATTTTGTGCAATACAGCACGCGATGTTAATGTTGAATAATCTGACGAATTCTAAATTTGTATTTCGCCCTGAAACTTATTAACACATCATCCTTTTCTCCCCTGACAGACTACCATTTATATATTCACAAAAATAAACTCGAGGTTGTTGTGTCTGTTAAATGTGGAAGACGAGATCGAAAAATTTCCCTGTTAAATATTGAAATTATAAGTTTGTTCAATGAAATAAACTGGTAAAAAGCGGTAATTTAGTATAAGGAACAATCTATATGATACCACAGGGCACTACTGAGTTACTAGCTGTTGTTTAACAAATGATGGTAAACTTCTATTTTATACATATATATGTTTTTGACAAATATAATACGATCTGGACACATGTCTTATTTCAAACTATGCTTTTCCGTCCGATTAAGAAAAAAATTGTACATTTTTTAAACTAATAAAATATATTGTGCGGTGTTTTCTCACTAGCACGAAGGGCACACAGTAGGAATAGTCAGAAGAAATACAACTTATAAACACGTCTTGTTTCATTGTATACCTCCACTTTTCTCTCCCATAAATAAAAGCGACGAGTTTCCTTAAAAGCGATTATAATTCCTGCTGGTCATTGTACAGAAGACTCAGAGCTGCTGTCCGCAAGTGCTGTTTAGTTATACGAATATGATTGTTTTTTTTTTGACGTCAAATTCCAAGGAAACGCACAAAGACTGTATGGTATTTTTGAAGCTAAACGTTTTAAGAAAACTTTTTACATTTTTTATTTTGCAATTTTTTCAGCTTTAAGATCCGAAGCGCTCTCTGTTGTTTATAACGCCGAACAAAACTACTTTTGTCCAATAAAAAACGTGTTTCATTCCTGCGAAAGCCTGGGCCTGATCGAGCCATTACGATGTATTCCCTTCCAACACGAAGCCTTGGACATCGGCACGAATCTAAGGACCACAGATATTCCCTTGGTAGAACTGCTATTGTGTTTTTGTAGGACTGGATAATTCTGACATCGTACCGGTTTTGTCCTTTCACGATTTGCGAATCAAAGACCACCACCCTCAGTACTGAAGGTTAAGGCAAAAAAAACAACAAAAAAAACGTTTTTTAATGCTATTTTATGACATAAAGACACAAAAATGACAGCAATACGCATTTCTTTTTAATAGGCAGAAAAAAAAATCCTAAGTCACAGAAATAACACATAATTTGTTAGAGAGGGCGAAACAAAAATGAAAAATTGCCTAATATTCTGGATGGATAGCAACACAAAAATTAGTCTTTGTAGCAAAGGAAATTAGAACATTATTCAGTCATTGTCGTATATCATTCACTTTATGTTATGTGAAATAAAACAAAAACATTATTCATTCTTTGTAAAAGAAAGCGACGGAACCATAAACATGTTTTACTGAGTTCGAAATACAACATATTTGCTATGATAAAACATAGATAAATACAAAAATATCATTTTTCCGCTTGTTTTCAGTCGTACAAAACAAATCAGAAACATTGTCAATTATTTTTCAAAGTGGTGAAAGGAAATAAAAAATAATCCTAACTCTTGTTGTAAAAGCCTAACAAAACAGAGATACGGTTTATTGTTCGTTTGTTTTAGGGCAAAGCCACATTGGGCTATCTGCTGTGTCCACCGCGAGGAATCTGTTTGTTTGTAATTAAGCACAAAGCTACACAATGAGCTATCTGTGCTCTGCCCACCACGGGTATCGAAACCCAGATTCTAGCGTGTAAGTCCACAGACATACCGCTGTACCACTGGAGGGGCGCGAGGAATCTAACATCGAATTTTAGCATCTTAATTTCATAGACTTACCGCTATCTCACCGTGGAACGACACAGTTTAGACTATTTATTATAGAGGACAAACAAAACAGAAAAGTTATTTATTCTTTGGGATAGAAGTGTAAACGAAGGGAAATATTATTTGTAGTCGCGGCATAGCGGCTCATAGTTTTTCAAGTACAAACTTTTAGCTTATAGCTCTGTCATCTCTTGCCGATTTGAAATCTAATTACAGTTTGGGACTCAAGAGGTCAAACCCTTTCGATTGATGTATTCCACCACGTCCAAGATCTCATAGATTAATTTACTCTAATCATGCCTAAAAGGATTTCAAGTGCCGTGGCTATTGAGGATTCCCCCTTGTTTATAATTAATACAAACTAAAACAAAATTTATTAATTATTTGTGATATAAGTCATAACAAAATATTACAATGTTTCATTGAGTACGAAATAATACAGCATCTTTACCTACTACTTGTGATAACTAAGTAACAAAATATAAAAACACCATCCGCTATTTACCCCGAAGGTCGAATCAAAACAAACACATTTCTCAATCTTTGTAATAAAGGTTGAAACAAGACATTTAGGAAAGTTGTCCCGCATCTATTGTTGAAAGTGAATTAAAATAAAATGCACGTGTGTGTTTCTATATACAATAGTATACTCAGTTGGCAAGAGCAGTTCATCACACGAATGAGGGGATAACGTGTAAATTTTTTCTCGGATGTCACCCTACTTTCACGAGTAGACTAAAACTTAAATATTAACCAATTGTAACAATGTTTCAATCAGAGTGACAAAACGTATCCGATTATAAGCAACTGTAATCCATGGACATTAGATAGAATAGAAATTTAATCGCTTTTAATATTTAAAGTGAGTATCATCATACATACAAACACAGTAACGCCGTTAGAAACATAGATTATAATTATCATGTTCAGTACATACAAATAATTATCGAAAATATGTACAAAAAAGTAAAATCGCAAAGTTTTATGTAGGTAGCTATATCAGCGGTAAGTTTACGGACTTACAACACTAAAACCCGGGGTTCGATTCCTCGCTATGGACACAGCAGATAGCCCAATGTGGCTTTGCTCTAAAGATAACCAACTAAATAAATATATTTACATTATTTTCCTGATATAAACTTAAAGGTTTTTATAAAATCTTAATACTTTCAGATTTTTTTTTCGGTTCTTGACTTTTTCACTCAATATATTTGAGAAGCTCAAATCAGGCTAATATTAATAACAACAACAACAAAAAGATATAAGTAGACATTCATTTAATACTATTTTGACTGCAGTATAAAAAGCTGAAAGCTCATTTAAAAATATTTATAAGTCTATTCAAATGGAGGAACCTGGACTTATTTATTTATTCTTTTTTGTTTTTTCATTCTGGTAGTCAGTTTTTGAGATCAAATATTGGCCAGACAGAATTGGCTAAATAAATCACATTTTAAAATTTACTCATTAAAGTTTTATTTTATTTAATTTATTTTTTTCACTTTCATTGTAAACATTTCTTATGTAACTATTGTTTACACACATATGTAAACTTGGGTAACTTACCAAGATCACTCATGCAAAAATGTTTCCTTTGGTTTTTAACCTTCTTGCAAGAAGGGCAGGAACCTTTAAAGTAAAACGATTTAATTTTTACTATCTTGACTTTCATGTACCGTTATTTGATATCAAACACTTAAATTGGTGATATTTAAATGTCTTTAATTTAAAATATTTACTATGAAAAGTATATCAATATGAAAGTACTAATAAAATTATACTATTTTGCAAAAGAAGTCTTAAATAACCAAACTTTTTTCCATACAATATTAATTTCTTTTTGCAGAATCAATATATTTCAAGTGAAAAATCAACAATGCTTACTAATGGAGTTTTCATGTTTATTTAAACTGTATCATTTACACACATGACTTTAATACACGACAGAATACTAACCTTTCCAATATTTTTTCCTGGATTTTATCGAACCTGACAAAAACTTTCGGCCTCTCGCCAAAGGACCTGCATAGTGGAATTTCTTGTTGTGAGGGTGTTTGTTTTGGTTTTTTAGGATTTTATTCATTGTCTGAAAGTTCTTGTTTGAAGAAAATCTTGACGTCGAGTGCGGCAAAGAACTGTTAAATTTTGGTAATCTCGATACAACAGAATATGGTTTTGAAGTTCTTCTTCGACTGGTAAATACGGAAGGATAGTTTTGTCCCTTTTGTTTTTTTAATTTTTCGTGGTCTCGGGAGGGTTGTTGGGGTTTTAATGTAGTATGCAGGTGATCTGAATTTCTTATGTTATTTCGGTTCTGTTGAAACTCCGCCATATTTCGAGAAGAATGAACCTTTCCCGATTCGGGCTTATTGGTAGAATGTGAAATTCCCACATTACTTTTTTGCAACGTCTCACGAGTATGTCCGATCGAACGGTTGTTAATATTGCTACTTGTTTTTGGCGCTGAAGTCACGTATTGTTTGTACGTTTCTTGCGGTGAACGAGGTTGAAGCGTTGTTTGTTCAAATGTAGGAAAGGTGGTTCGGTAAAAAGATGGAAAAGAACGATTAGACTGTCTAACGGGGGTGATTAAACCAGTTGTTACTGGTGCAATGGCGGTTGACGGTGAAGCACGTGTCGAGACTGAAGTCGCGTGAATGGAGACATCTACCGGGCTAATTCTTGGTTGTATTGTGGAAGTTTCTTCTTTAGATAACCAATACTGATAATGGATGCCGGGGTTTCTTTCTATGAGTAACACCTGAAGAAGGTTTGCAACAATATCAAAATAAAATGGTACGTACTTTGGGCAACTTTAATATATAAGGATGTATGCAACGATAAAACACTGCTGTTAATTACTAATACTACATTCTATTTCTAACAAACCGTAAATATTCTGATCTAATTTGAGTTATATCTTGAGAAAATTCTGTAGTGTTTCCAAAAAAAGCTTTATTCGGTAAAAAATTGGTCTTACTGTATATCTTAACTGCAATAGGATTGCTGTAATATACAAGTAAAGAAGAAAACTTTTCAAAAAAGGAAGTAAATGTAGGGATGGCTAAAACCAATCCTTCAAAAACAATGCAAACAATATAGTAGGGATGGCATTTGCATCATCTCTACATAATAGCACAGGCACACAGTGCAGTAGAATGTTAACAGACAAAAATAGAATAAATTAAACTCAGTTCTTGCCTGTGCTATTATGTAGGGATGATGCAAATACCATCCCCGCCATCTTGTGTTTGAAGGATTGATATTAGCCATTCCCTACACTATTTCGTTTTTTTTAAAAAAGTCTTTTCTTTGCTTGTTTTTTTTAATGCAGTGTTTCAACAGACATATAAAGGTTGTATTTATAACCAAGCTCTAAATATAATGAGGTTCCAACTGTAATATTTATTTTTTATCTATTATTAGCCGGTAATTTCTGCTTCACCCTATACTTAAGCTTTTTAAAGAAACACCAAATTTCTGTAAGAAAACTAATTTCAAGGGGTAATGATAACATCGTTTACACTAGAATTGCGATTTTTAAAAATTACTACTAGTTATTAACAATACTCAGAAAAGCGGATACTCCGTTTGAAACTATGTCACCTCAGTGAAATTGTTCGACACCATTGTTTTGTTTTTTGAGTTACTATGTAACAAAAAGGAAACAGAAGAAAGAAAAACAAGAAATTCAAACTTTTTGCTATGATATCTAGTTTACAGACATTCTTATAACTTGAGACTCAGTCATTACATAGATATTGTTATAAAAGGAAACACTGTATAGTATTGTAAAGTTCTGATGACCTATTGATGAGATATTTAAAATCCAATTTCGATGAACAATCCCAGCCATCCCTACATAGGCAGTGCTACCGCCTGCCTGATTAAAGCAAAACAATCATGGAAACTAAAGATCGGTCCATTACTTGTTCATTTGTCCACTACCATGTACATTACTCAAAATACTTATCCAGATTTAAATGATACGGTATCTCTTCAGTGTATATTCGGATAATTTTAATTTATTATTTAGAGAACTGGAAAGAGCACATTAGATGTAATAAAAGCTAAGGAATGAATCTCATCTCATCAGATCTTTTGTATGAGAACAGTTAGCATCCAAGGTTCAAACCCTGATGTGTCGCTGAAAAGCCACCGCACTTTCATCTGGGATGAGGGGGCATTATAACTGTGACAGTCAGTTTCACTATTTGGGTAACCGTGTAGATGACTGTCTACATACAATCTGGTCAAAGATTCTAGATGAAGAGAGTCATGTCTGAACGTTAACATTTAACCAATGTGTCGCATAATTTATTGTTCAGCTTGAAACTACAAAATAGTCGTTTCTAGAGTTACGTACTAGAAACACGTGATCTTTATAAAAGTAACACATCTTCACACACACACACACACACACACAAACAAAGTTATACGATCGTACTATAACAGATACTTGTTCACTAAAACACAAAACAGCAGAATATTAGTAGAACATCAGGTATTTGTAGAGAAAAAGAGAAGCGTCGGATGTTTAACTAAACACATCGTAACACTATCTAAGGCCCTTTGAGCTCACCAGAACATAGGGTAACACAAATTTATTAGAAGTATTAGGCGTTTATCAAAAGATAAAATAACGTCTCTTTAAGCTAAAAGCATCAGGCTTTCATCAGAAAATAAAGAAATATAGTATACTAGGAGTGTCAGGTGTCGATCTGTAGGTCCTGGCGCTGATATCGTTTCCTTTTCTGGAGTTCTGGAATAATGCAATTTTGTACCAGCTACTCTGTAATATCCTGGAAGGTCCAGCATCCAGTGGCCATTGATGAAGGAAGACTTATCGTCCATCAGAGCTGTGAACATCATTATTAACAAAATATACTTATTTGAAAAATATTTCAATAATAGTTGGATAAATTAGTTTGCTATAGGCCAAACAAAACTGTATGCCAAGAATCTACTGCCATAGAAGCTAGACGTATAACATACAAAAAATCTTATTATTTAAAGTGTTGGTAATTATGGAAACGGTAAATAAAATAGATATAAAATGTCAGTATAATTGGATTGTTCCCCTTATAAAGTATGAAAACGAGCTACACCAAACGAAAGTCACTAGTTAATAGTTTATACTGTGATTAGCTGTCATCCAACCAATCAGTCAACGTCACACCAGCATAATGCATATACAAGTACAGACAGTCATACTATACCCAACAGTAGCGTGGTCTCAGATATTAGTAACACCTTTCTGGAGTGTTAAACATTGAGTTACTGAGAACAATGAAATAAAAACAGTGTGGAGTGTTAAAGATTGAGTTACTGAGAACAATGAAATAAAAACAGTGTCTCAGATATTAGTAACACCTTTCTGGAGTGTTAAGGGTTAAGTTACTGAGAACAATGAAATAAAAACAGTGTTTCAGATATTAGTAACACCTTTTTGGAGTGTTAAGGGTTAAGTTACTGAGAAAAAATGCCACATGACAAACGTGTAGAAATCGAAGTTTTAGCTGGTGAAAGCTACTCCATGCAACAGAATGAGCCGACATTTCATGTTTCAGTATTAGCTGTATGAAAACTTTGAAGTGGGTATTTTAAACTAGAAATGTTAATTATAGAAGCGGTCGAGATGGAAATTCTAAGCTCTTTAGAAGTAATGTTCAGTAACTCAGGTTATGGAGAAGTAATGTTAAGTAACTAAGGTTATGGAGAAGTAATGTTCAGTAACTAAGGTTATGGAGAAGTAATGTTCAGTAACTAAGGTTATGGAGAAGTAATGTTAAGTAACTAAGGTTATGGAGAAGTAATGTTAAGTAACTAAGGTTATGGAGAAGTAATGTTAAGTAACTAAGGTTATGGAGAAGTAATGTTAAGTAACTAAGGTTATGGATTTTGTTTTATAAAGATCATGATGTTTTGAATGTTACTTCCAGAATACTAAGATAACACGTTAGCATGAAGTGGCCTCGATGAACTCGTAAATACTAAAACATCACAGTTTATGTGAGATAACCAAACTAAGAGTCTGAAATGAGCATCAACTTCAAATAACAGGAGAAGCAGCTCTGAAGGATAGTACTTTTTACAAGTAAATCAAAAATTCAAATTGTCTAGGAACAATCAACGATAGTTTTTTTTTCGATGCTAAAAGTGAGAACACTTTAATGTGCTGTACTAGTGATAAGTTGACCAGTTAGTTAGAATTACTTATTGTTTATGAATCATGTATGTGTATTAACTGTACTTTCTTTAATGTGCTGTACTAGTGATAAGTTGACCAATTAGTTAGAATTACTTATTGTTTATGAATCATGTATGTGTATTAACTGTACTTTCTTTAATGTGCTGTACTAGTGATAAATTGACCAATTAGTTAGAATTACTTATTGTTTATGAATCATGTATGTGTATTAACTGTGCTTTTAATGTGCTGTGCTAGTGATAAGTTGACCAATTAGTTAGAATTACTTATTGCTTATGAATCATGTATGTGTATTAACTGTACTTTCTTTAATGTGCTGTACTAGTGATAAGTTGACCAGTTAGTTAGAATTATTATTGTTTATGAATCATGTATGTGTATTAACTGTGCTTTTAATCTGCTGTACTAGTGATAAGTTGACCAATTAGTTAGAATTGCTTATTGTTTATGAATCATGTATGTGTATTAACTGTGCTTTTAATGTGCTGTACTAGTGATAAGTTGACCAATTAGTTAGAATTACTTATTGTTTATGAATCATGTATGTGTATTAACTGTACTTTCTTTAATGTGCTGTGCTAGTGATAAGTTGACCAATTAGTTAGAATTACTTATTGTTTATGAATCATGTATGTGTATTAACTGTACTTTTAATGTGCTGTACTAGTGATAAGTTGACCAATTAGTTAGAAGTACTTATTGTTTATGAATCATGTATGTGTATTAACTGTGAATTTCCATGATTATTTCCAATACTGTATATGCACACAAATATCCATATTATATTTGTGTTCTTCTGTTTGTTTATATGATTTTCCAAGTAGCTTTTTATAATATAGTTCAGAGAAGTGTATCACAGAAAGTGAACTCTAGCCAATCTTCGAAGCTTAGATATATTTTACTTAATAACTGTTGCATCTTTCTTTTCAAAAATATGAAAACAAATTTTCACGGCACAGAAATTGTGAAATCGGAATAAAAGTTTACGTTAAAACACCTTCACGTCTTCGACAATTAAAAAAGGTTTCCAAATGTTTATATTCAATCCCACGTTAGATGTTTCGAAAAGACACAATTCCACTCATATTATTAACTTAGTACGCATGGTTTTTGACGCATAAAATGTAAGCTGCAATATTGAAATTGATTCGCTATTTAGATTAGATATATATAACTGTCATAAATACAATTGGATGGGGGGGGGGGTACTTACGCTACTGCATTAGAGACAAATGAAACTTAAAAATAATAATAACTAAAATGAATATTGAATATTTAATTACAAAATATTATTTACGAAAATCAACTATTTGAGTTAGACTAATGGGTCTAAAGAAATATTAACCAAAGTTGGCATGTGTGGGGTGGACATAGTAGACACCGATGTTCACGTTTACCCCAAATGTTAGTTGTCCTTCTAAAGGAATCAAGTTGTTGTTGTTGTTGTTTGTTATTAAACACACAGAGACACAAAGGGCTATCTGTGCTCTGTCCACCACGGGTATCAAAACCCGGTTTCTAGAGGTACAAGTCTGCAGACATACCACTGTGCCATTGGGGAGGAGGGGGCTAAAGGAATCTAAGGATCCAACCTCTCCCAGGAGAATGTTATCTCTGTACTATTACCGTTTCATAGCTAGAATAGTTATTAATTTTATTATTTCACAATTATATTTAGTATATATTTTCAATTAGATATATTCAGGCAATTCTAGTAAATGTTCATTCTGGCAGTCTGCATGTAGTTAGGACATTCTTGTTAAACGGATGTCAGAAGGTCATACACATGCCCTTTGCTTAGGTAAAGGTTGCATACAGCAAGAACTTAAATCACAGTGTCTATCTGTGTCCACTCCCCCAGGAAGCGAACCCATCAAGTGCGTGTATAGATTAGTATTAGTTGAGGATTTTCTTCATTGTATGTGCTATTTGAAATAGTCTGTGACTTGAGATTGTGATATACCTCACATGGACCTATTTTCTGTTTGGGAAGTGTGGCATATTAAAATTTGTCGTTTGTATCCTGTGGATGTGAGTAGAAAACCTCCCCAGTCCAAACAGCCAGTTTGAACTCAAACTACTTAGAAGTCAGCCAGGCTGGTAAATAAGCATAAAAACAATTATTCTGAATAGAAATTTTGTTCCCTTTATTCACCTGAGTTTATTTCTTTCCTCTGCTGTAGAAGTTTGAAATTATTTTCTGCTTTAAATTTATAGAGTCTGCGTTGTTACTGTTGATCAAGTGTTTCATGTTGTTTTCTACATATACACCAACAGTACAAAGAAAGGTGGAAAAAAAGGGAGTAAAATGACACTCAACAGACCAAGTCACGTTTCTGTTCATTTACTATCCATAGTTTACGCTCTAAGCACCCATTGAAGCTGTACTTTCTTGCTTGCATCTGAGATTAATGGTTTATAAACCCATTACAGAATGTCATATGACGGCTTTTGTACAGTCTTTCATATAATACTATTGGAAACATTAGCGCCAACTTTTCCAAATTATATGGTGTATTTTTTTTGGCACAACTTCAGAGTGCTCAACAGTATTCACGTCAATAAATGTTGGGTGTATTCAAGCACCTACAGCCAGCGACCATGGTTGGAGCTAGCCAAATCCCGAACAATATTAAAGGAATCAATCAATTAGAATACAATCTGAAGTACTTTATAAACTTGTTCAATCATCTTTTCCTTCAATTTGTTACGATAGTGATTATTGTCAAATAAATATCTTCTTTCGATTGTCACTGCTTATAGGCTTTGATGACAGATGTCTTAGAACAACTAACCAAGGAAACGGTATTTGATAACGACCCACTACAAATTTAACTATACAAGTACCTACTTCCATACATCTTTGAAAGTAGGAGAGATTCTTGCCCTTATGCCCAGTGTCTTGCAGACTAATCAAGATATGACTATTCTTTGCATTTTTTAGAATTCAAGCAAATAACTCGTATATTATATAGTTAGTCTATTTTCCATGTGCAAATAAATGGAGCGTTCTGCAAACGTAAGTGTTGATCGTAATATAAAAGCTAACCAATATAGTTTTAGGGGATTTCAATACGTTTTTTAATTAAAACTCAAACTTGTCTCATAGATAACAAAAGTCAAAATTATTATATAAAGGAAGACATTTTTATGTTTTTACTGGTGCTTTAATATTTTGTGGAAATAGTAAACCAAATGGTAGGCACACAAACTTAAATCCCAGGAAAACGCTGCAAAATTAAAAAAATCGAATCAATATTTGGATTACACTATAAATCGGACTTTGGCGGTTTCAAAACAATGTTTATAGAAGACTTTAGAAGAAGAAATACTTATCACTTTGTTTCATGCTTATAAGTATTATCTCTAGTTATCATTCAGGCTGATAAAAATAAAACGAAACGCTTTATTTACAGGTCAAATACTCTTGATTCGTGCAAAGAGGAAATACTTTACTTCACCCCTATTAACTGCATCTCGCTATTCATGTTCACAAACGTATGTAGTAAATAAATATTTTTAAACGTTCGTAAGTGACCATATATCCATAGTGAAACTTCGAAACGGTGATGGAGCTTTCTATTGTAAAATTTAAGTAACTGTCAATAAGATAAATTGATACACGTAATGCGACAAAATACAAAATTTGTTTTTCTTGAGACAAAGGTAACCGAGGTTCTATGTAGCTTTGAAGTACGTTTTACAAAACAGGTAACTTTGTAACAACTTCAATCATCCAGAGCAATAAATTTCTGGTTTTGATTGCTTAATAAATGTGATTTTATAAGAATGGTATTATATGTAAATATAGCGCATATGTTATTAAATATTTTGCAACAATTACATTGCGTTCCAGAATATTGCTTTTTGCTGAGTAGTCATAAAAGTACAGTGAGTGACATTAACATAATACATTCTATTTCTATCACATGATTGATAAGAAATTATGTATACAAACCTAGGTAATTACCACTGTTATCTTCTATTTGAATGTTCCTGGCACCTTTTGGTATGATGGTTATTTTGCTGTAACCTCGACCAAAACCTGAAACCAAAATATAGTCAATACTAATTACACTCAAAAGTAAACTTGACACTAAGTTCATCCAAATGTATAAAGGTTGAGTACGTTATATTAATACGGTTTCGAGTATGCAAGTCAGCAAGTCACGTGATAACCAAAGCCGGTATAAAACCACGGTGGAACAGAATGTATCAGAACTACATTTTGACATTGGGTAGGAAGCGCGATGACATCGAAAACTGATTGCTTTTGGGAAGGGTAAGTACTAGCACTTTCTGACATAAAATATTAATATACTCATACCATGAAGATATAATCTTATTTGGGATTTAGAATTTACAAGAATGATATATGTATTTAATATACTGCATTGGAAAACAAAGGAATATAGATGAGCTTGCGTAACCAGAACCACCCAGAAAAGTATCTGCAATAAGTCGTATCTCAGCTAGTATAAGCAACGTGTGATTCTACGAACACGAATGTCAGTGCCAAAAGCTGTTTACGTGCACCAGGCAACATTACACAACATAATCAAGAAGGATCTCCGTCTGGAAAAGCGACACAAGCCACAGATATATACAAGCTGCTTCCACCATATATTCGTTCATGTATCCGTCATATTCTTCAAGCAGGTGGAGAATGAAACTGGTATTTATGCTATGCTTATGCAAAGCTTATGGATTTTTGTGCAATCAGACTGTTGACACGGGCGTTTGGAAACATTGTTTTCGTTCACTTACACCAGATGGATTATGGAAAGCATGAAAGGAGGAGTGGTTTGTTTTGGATATGACAGCCTTGTGACAGAGATTTTTGGAATGAAAACTACGCTGCATGGCTATTGTCAAGACTCACGACAGTTGTCAGATGGAGAATGATCGAGTGTGACGACATAGACTAACGACCTTCTAAACCTAGAAATATGTTAACGTCTCAGTAAAGGAAATTTTAGGGATGTTAAACTTTTTTATATTTCCTTTCGAAGGGAATTTCACAGACGGTGTTATTCTCTTCAGTTTCATTTCTGTAGGAAAAATTCAGAGAAGATGTTATTCTTACATCTTCTTTTATAAGGGCTATCGAGAGAAAACGTTATAGTTCTTATTCTTTTCTTTCGTAGGAGATTTTTTGTTATGTTTTCTGTTCCACGAATCTGAATTTCTTTCTTGGATAAAAGGAGTCTACTTACCATGAAATGTGTGTAGTGTGGACAAAACAGACGGCAAAAGAACAGGTGTGTCTGGTCGTTGACCGTTGAAAATCCCTTCATGATGGTTACAAGTACTATTGTCTCCGTCGCATTCCCCACACATATCCAGAACTTTCTGAGATTCAATGTATCCGTCACAGCCAACTGTCTGAAGTGTGAATCCCAACAGAGAGTTTAAGAAAAAAGTTTTTCTTTAAGAATTTATGCACAGTTTCTTCAAATAGTAATAAACATATTGCAAATAGAAATATTTTAACATGCGTTAAGCTCCAATAGATAATTTATCGTATATTACTATTGTTGTTAAACACAAAGCTGCACAAACAACGATCTGGGAGATCGTCTATTACTAAATAATACAATGTATATTTGATAAGTAAATTTCATAAGCAATTTTTCAGAAAACAAAGTTTTAATATTTAGAGAAGATTATACTATACACACACACACCACCACACACACACACACACACACACATATATATATATATATACTGTAGTTCGGTGGAATTATTTGTTATTTTGGAGCTTTCAGCCAATTTTATTTTTCATTAGGTTTTGATCCCATCTGTCGGGTTGAACATGACTCGTGCATGGAACAAGAAATGTCAATTTTTTGTTGTTTATTCATCATTTATTTGTCCAGAAATACATTGTATATAGCAACCTGCTGAAAAATATGTATTTGAAATACAAAAACTTTATTTTTTTTTCAATATTTATTTACCCTAAAAGAGTAGTACGAGTCAAGATGGCGGTCAGGAAACAGTAGAAGAGTTAAGACTGTAAACTGACACAGGTTTGACTCACTTAAGTAGTTTAGTTGTTGAACGCTTAATTTTTTTTTTAGGGTGATCATTATTGTCTTAAGTTAATAGAAGTATACTGAAAACTTGCGTACTACAACGAATGACATTTTTCTTTAAAAACGAAGACACAATTAGTTGTATTTACCTGTATTAATCATGTACAGCGAAAACACTTTGGGGCAAAATTGCTGTAATTGTTTTAGTATAAGAGCTGTTATAAATAGCTAAAGCATTTTTGAATAATTAATAGTATTCAAAATAATTTTAAAAATGTATTTTTTGTAAGAACAGACATTCTTATTGGCTCTTTGTTGTTAAGCTTAAAGCTCACAATGGGCACCTTTGCGCTACCCACTACGTGTATCGAAACCTAATTTTGAGCGTCGTAAGCTTCGGCCTAATTGTTGTATGAAGTGTTACTGCAGACATTTACGTAATGTTGTTGTAAACAATAAGCATGATGTAGATACTGTAGTTAACGCCTTTCTGTTGCTTCTCTAAGATAATTAAGAAATAAGCGCAGAAAAACAATACAAGTTGCAAGCTGGTGTTTTTCGACAAACTAATGCCGAAAACCGTCGATTTGGTTTCAACTCTATCTCTCTCAGGCCCGGCATGGCCAGGGTGTTAGGGCGCTCGACTCGCAATCTACAGGTCGCGGGTTCGAATCCCCGTCCCACCAAACGTGCTCGCCCTTTCAGCCGTGGGGGCGTTATAATGTGACGGTCAATCCCATTTTTTGTTGGTAAAAGAGTGACCCAAGAGATGGCGGTGTGTGGTGATGACTAGCTGCCTTCCCTCTAGTCTTACACTGCCAAATTAGGGACCGCTAGCGCAGATAGCCCTCGTGTAGCTTTGCGCGAAATTAAAAATAAACAAGCAAACTCTTTCTCTCTCTCTATATATATATATACGCATGCCTTTTTTAATTACCAAGCAGGATTAAGAATTTCATATTCTGTTGGGTTGGTTGGTTGTTTATAATTAAGCACAAAGCTGCACAATGGGCTATCTATGCTCTGCCCACTACGGATATCGAAATCCGGTTTCTAGCGTTGTAACTTCGCAGACATGCCGGTGTGCCTCTGGTGGGCATTCTGCTGAGTAATAACGTATGTATAAGTTTGTTTCGGATGTTCACACATAGACTATCTCCGCTAGTCATCCCTAATTATTTGTTGTTGTTTCTTTTAGAGCAAATCCACGTTGGGGTATCTGCTGAGTCCACCGCGGGGAATCGAACTGCAGTTTTAGCGTTGTAAGTCCATAAACTTACCGCTGTCCCTTCGGATGATCCCTAACTTTGAACACATAGACTAGAAGGAAAGTAGCTAGCCAACAGTATCTACCACCAAATCTTGGGATTCTTTTCGAATAGTGGGATTTTACCATCACTCGTACAATGAATGTACCTACGCCCCATAAGTGCAAAGCCCGATTTTGAGGTAGCGGGACTCGAACCATAGCTCTAGGTTTCATAGTCCGGCACACTATTCACATGGTTAGGTCAGGTATAAATTAAAAAATATATATAGTAATTCATCTAGAATGAAGTATTGACGATAAATTAATGTAATTTTTGTGGATGTATTAATCTTCTTTCTAACCAGATGTTTCTTTAGAAAACTATTGTTTTAATCACGCATTTAAAATGATGATGCAAATCATTATGTTGTTAACAAATTTATTAAGGGCAACCTACCAAACATCTTCCATCTACACATATGCTTCCGTTCTCATGGGAACAAGAAGTGCCGTCGATGACCTTACCAAAGCTGTAAACGAATCCAAGCCTTACTGCTCGACATTGTAAGTGACAAGGGTTGCTTCCTGCAATAAAAGACGCATGTATTGTTGTCATAGCATAACAATATTGGATCCCATTGGGATTTCGTTTGCTTTTTCATACATGAGGAACCATCTGTAATTTTTTTTTTAATTTCTCGTAAAAAGTTCTTTTATTTCAACAGAGAATACTATGATACAGCCCCCTATTTAAATAAATCTGCTTACTTAGGTAAATTTTATCAACTGTAGACAGGGAAATAGTTTTATAAGTCATTTCTGCCTTTTCGTTTTTGTTTCAGTGAAATAAACAAAAACTCGTGTTAAACATTTCATCGGAGGTAAAAAATAAAAGCTACAATTGGTCTACATTGTTTGTTATATTAATTTTCCTTTCGACTGCTGTTTCATTACGTTCAGGAAAGACGTTAATCTCGCAAAATTAAACACTAGAAAACGCCTTGAGAAACGCGTTTGTAATATTACATGCTTTCGTGAAGTACAAGAAAAACTAGAACAGAAATAAATCAAGGTTATTAAAATAATATAACATTTTCACATAAATTAGGTAGTGAGTTTATTTATACGTAATGAACTATAAAAAAATATAGTTAGTGTTTTCGTAAAGTAAAAGAAAAGTCAAAAACACAAGTTATTCAAATAATGTCATATTTTCTATAAACTGAACAGCGAACTTATTTACACGTAAAGAGACATTGAAAAAAAAACATGTATAAAACAAAAACATATTAAAACATTTTCATGCTTTCGTTATGTTTTAGCAAAGATTATATAAGGAAAAGAAAATTACAGTTATAATGTTAAACACACTTAAATCTAGGCTATAAACAATTATATTTTTAGATCATATAAAACAAATAATAAGATTGTTTTGATAATGTAAGCTGTGCAAAGTATACAACTTGCAAGAATGCCGGATTAAAATATATTGAACATAAAACGTTAAGAGGTACTTATCCATTGTTTAACTTACGAATTACTGAATCGTTTTTGTACAATTCTTTACCGGTTGGTCCACAAATTGCATCGTACTGAATGATTTAATGATTTTGGCGGTTATCATACTAGTAAAAATAACGACAAAAATATTGGATTATATCACTCATTTATAAAATACATAGAGGAAACCTAGCAGTAATATATGGGATTGGCTGCGAAACATGTTCCATATGTTTTTAAAGAAACTATAACCAAGAAAATCATGGCTCCATAAGTAATTTGGTGCATAAGCAATTTAGAAAAATGTGTTTAAACAGCCGATGGTTGGGTGCCATTGGAAATTTTTAGGGTTAAAGAAATAATGTTACTGAGAAAGAACCACAAAGGATCTTCCGTATAAAGTTATATACTCTAGTCATCATGTACAAATCATATTTGGAAATTCACTGTTGATTTAAAGTCTGTGTGTGTTTCATTTTAACACAAGGAAACAGACAGTCATACTTGAAGCCATAAAGTAAAGTAAAGTTTTACCTCTGTAGTCCGGAACCCATTGTTGAACTACATGACCAGCCACCTCGAGGCCATTATGAAGGTAGCACTGAAGTTCCAAAAAACCTTTTGTATCAGTTGGACAGTCCTATATTAAAGGAATCACTGCTAAATAAATAGAGTTCCAGCTTTGTCTTTCAAAAATAATATGAGTAGGTGACGAACTGTAAAAGGAAAACCTCATAATTCTTATAATGGATAAAATATTACATATACTGAAAGTACACGTGTACTGACTTATTCAGAGGAATATGTTTACTCTTGCTCCAAGAATAAAATTAATAATGTTTATTTTGGAGCTTTCAGCCATTTTTATTTCTTATCAAGTATTGATCTATATTATATTAATTTCTACATTACCTGTGTGTGACATACTTTACGTTCGATTGAACCTCCACTACAGCGAGAACTTTGTACCAAATCATCAGACCTACCAAAAAAAAAAAAAGTGAATATCAGTTAAGGAAATTAATGTCTAAGTTTTGTTGTTGTTTTTCAATGGGGCCGGGCCCGGCATGGCCAGGTGGTTAGGGTTCTCGACTCGCAATCTGCGGGTTGCGTGTTCGAATCCCCGTCACACCAAACATGCTCGCCTTTTCAGCCGTGGGGGCGTTGTAATGTGGCGGTTAATCCTACTATTCGTTGATAAAAGAGTTGCCCAAGAGTTGGCGGTGGGTGGTGATGACTAGCTGCCTTCCCTCTAGTCTTACACTGCTAAATTAGGGACGGTTAGCGCAGATAGCCCTCGTGTAGCTTTGCGCGAAATTCACAAACAAACAAACAAACAAGCAATGGGGCACGATATGCAAGTGAAACATACTTGGTTACAATGACATCTGATGTGTTATATAACACTAACTACTTTTTACTACAATTACAAGAAAGCTAATCATTTCGCAATTATATTGTCCTTGACCAAGAGATTAACTTCTAGGAAAAATGGGGCTGGAGACTATTAAGGTTGTTCACAATGTTAGCGTTACTAAAACTGTGTGTCTCGACCCAAAAGGGATCGTAGGGGGTTGCGAGATCATAAAAAAATAGATAACGGTTATTTTAGAGAACGTAGAGTAATTTGCTCTCATTTTGTGTGGGTTGGTGTGTGTGTGTGTGTGTGTGTGGTGTGGGGTGGGGGTGGGAGCGTCGTAGCCTGAAATATTTTCAAATGGGGCCCAGCAAAAAAAGTTTGAGAATCCCTGCACTACGTCATTCAAATATCAATCGGTAATACAATCAAAGAAGTCTCAAGATTCATTATGGTCTTTAAATCTATTGACTTTTTTAAGCCCCCAAACAAGTTCCGGATCTTAGATCAGAACAAATCTGGCGGAAATTGAGCACCGTCTAGACCCGATATGATACTGAGCTGATAGAATACACACGTAGTTCGAAAGTTTCCTAATCTGCATTAAATTATTGTTGAAAGTTTTGTGTAGGACAGCATAAGAAGGGCAATCTATAAAATTCAGGTTACAATTATGTTCGTAATACGGTGTTTAAACGAAAATGTTCTTAAAGGACAGTATCAAGTATAGTAAATACGCTCAAGAAATTCTTTAAGTGTATCGAATGTTTTCTTACGCTTAATTAGAACAATGCTTGATTAAGCCTATCCTTAAACATGCTGATTTATAGACGCAACTTTTCGTGGAATATATTATCGCTTGAAGAAAATACGACAGTGTGTAAAAAATAAATAAATCAAAACCAAAAATATCAATAAAAAATACCACTCCTATCATCATGTTATATAATTTAATTAGCTACAATATTTACAAATTACTGGATGATAAGCTATTTTAATACCTGTGTATATTATCAGACTATTAACGTAAATCTTGATATATATACACGACTTAATTGATTTACGAAAACAGTGATTATTTATTTAATGTAGTAGCAATATTCTGTCACGCAGTTAATCAGTAGATGCTTATCATGGTGAAGGACATGCACTTTTAGGGTGTTTATAACACTTTAACACTTGAAGTCACTTTACTGATCCCTCATGCACTTTTCGATCGCACATACTCGATCTGGAAAGCACCTCTGCAAAAATATACAGTCATTGTAAGGTGTTTAGCTTTACGTAAGGAGGTAAATTCACCTGAAAGTTCAAGTGGCACACATGTACAGAAAGACTTTAATTAAAGATCCGATGTTTTTCAGCAGTGCAAAGGATTTGTTTGTTTGTTTGTTTTGAATTTTCGCGTTAAGCTACACGAGGGCTATCTGCGCTAACTGTCCCTTATTTAGCAGTGTAAGACTAGAGGGAAGGCAGCTAGTCATCACCACCCACCGACAACTCTTGGGCTACTCTTTTACCAACGAATAGTGGGATTGACCGTCACCTTATAACGCCTCCACGGCTGAACGGGCGAGCATGTTTGGTGGGACGGGGATTCGAACCCGCAACCCGCAGATTGCGAGTCGAGCGCCCTAACCACCTGGCCATGCCGGGCCCAGCACAAAGGACACTTCAATGTGGATTAAGCTCATAATATGAAATAATTGCATGACACTAGAAAGTGGAATAAGCCTAACAGTAATACATTAATTATACGTTATTTTAATAGTCCTTCGGTGGGACAGCGTTGAGTCTACGGTAAATATGGGGTTCGGTCCCTCGCGGTGGACACAGCAGATAGTCCAATGTGGTTTAGCTCTAAAGCAAACAAAAACAAAAAAGATATTTAAAGAGTTACTGCTATAGCGAAGAGCATGATAAACCAAAATATTTATATACAGATTACTGCTGATTGATATAATCAGTTGAAACAAGCAAGTGATGAGAGTGATTAGAGCATCGTTTAATAAAACTTTGTAAATGATTATTAGCACAAGTTGATTTAACTCAGAATGTTGGATTACGTATTGCATACATTTATAATACCGCTCAATAAAACAGAGAATATTAGTTTATGCATTACGAGCTATTACATGGCATCACTCTATCGCACACGGAATGTGGTTCACGCAATAAGAATTACTAGCAGACACCTGTAAAATACTTGCGGTCAAATTAGTGTCTTTATTGCAATAGTACTTCTTTAAATACAAGATTTTTAGAATAATATAAAAGAATTCTAATTGCAGACACCGAATCTATGTCTACTTGCTTTAGGCCTAACACTTGTTAAGTACAGCCTATATTCGATAAAGAAATAGCACTATAACTTGTGCACGTTTTTTTTTTTTCTGCTTTAGTTTAACTTTACCGTACTTAATATTATCAATAAATAAACTTATAATGTTATTCTACGACCCAGTGTTAGACCTTTCTAATAATTTTGGTTAGATTTTAATATGTTGATATACAAAATGTCTACTAAAGTATATTTATATCCGCCTTTTATTTACATCCATTGAAACGAGGTGCGCACGTATGCGTACTTCGATAGTAAGGTGGGCGTGCATTTTTAGGACAGCCAAAAACTGGTTATTATAATTATAATAGATTAATAGGATCACGCAATAAAACAAAGAATGTTTGTTTATGTGGTTTGTGCATTACGGGTTATTACTAGGATCGCGCAATAAAACACAAAATGACAAATGTATGCATCATAAGAAGCCATCCTAATTCACATAATATTGGTTTGTGCATTACTTTTGAAAATCAATATCACTGGATAAATCATAACATGATGGTTTATGTATGTAAAAAATCAATATTATCACCATTAAAAGAAGAAACAAATTTGCATTAACGCCAGTATGTTCTTCGATACATAGTCTATATACAGGCCCTATTTCGTTTAACATTTTATACGATGTTGTTAGTTGTCTTTTCTAATTACGATGTTCATTGGTTTACTTCTAGGAATAAATATTTATACTTCTTGTAAATTATCAATAAACAAGAGCAAACACTGTTTTTTTTACAAAACAGATATTCATCTTTTACAGCTTTAAAGTGGTACCGTTCAACATTACGTCTATGAAGACAACCATGTGGCCTTACCAAAAAAAGGATACGACTTACGTCTCCAGTCGTATTAGACGGATAGAAAAAATATTACAAACAAAAAAAAATCTTGTGAAATGAATATACTTACTATATATCAGGGGTCGGATAGCTAGGTCACAAATATTAAAATTTACTATCTCACAGTAATAAGTCTATAATTTTCTTCAAAATCTTTAGCTTCTTAATACTTCAGACGAGATTACTCGTATCTAGTTACGATAAAGTTAGTGATTGGAAACTTTTCGCTAAGAACTCTAATAGACCACATCTTCAGTAACCCGATTTTCGTGCTCGAAAATATATATATGTGTCATTTGCTAGAAATTATGATAAACGCTTATAACAACTAATACTTAATGAAGAACATGACGAACTATCGTAAAACCCACCACGATACTGATTCTAAATATATATAATTTTTGTTTGACAGAAGTGCAGTTAATCACTAAGTCCAGCAACTAAATCTTTTTTTCTTCTCTATTATATGAAAAGAATAAAGAAATATTTTAGTCAGGTTTGAAAAAACAAACAAACAAAAAATATTGTGTAGTTTTGTTTTTCTTGTTTCAATACTTTTAGTAGCATTAAAACTTTATATATTACGTACATATCGATCCCTACTTGTCTTTATAAACTTTCAAAAATTGTTAAATTATATTTGTTTGATTCCTTTTTATTAGCTATATTTTAGTGCATCAACAATACGAATCGTGGGATGCACGTATACCCGATTCGATTTTATTGCTCATCAGGATCTCTATCGACCTATCCTCAAATCTAATTATATGTCCAAAGTAGCACATCGTCCATTATATATATACTAGTATCCTTTTCGGTACAAGAAAGGAATAATTGGGACCCCAGACGGAAGAGCTCTGTGATAGAATTAGAGTGACAAGGTTTGTCAGTTTTTCAGTATGCTTGTCTGGAAAACTCACTTACTTACTTACTTACTTACTTAGACGAAAATTCTTTGAAATAGTAAAATTTTGATTCACTCCATAAATACGTATATAACAAGTTAGACGCTTATATAGGTACAACAATAAGATTTAGTTTTGCTCAACTAGTACTGTGAAATAGTTATTGTTAACATTCAGACATTTTAAAGGCGGTTTTAAATGGGCGATATTTATGGCCGCCATTTTGTTACATTTCGATCCCTACTATTAAATACCACTGTACTTAATGATACACTCTTCTTATTTGTGAAATTCCATAACGGACACAGTGTTTAAAAATATAACAGATCTAATACTAATGTCTTATGACTAGTATAATTAATTACAATCATGCTTAACCAGCGTGGAAAAGGTGTGCACATAATAACAATTGTTGTTGTAACAAACGGCTTATATTAATAATGTTTCGATCACTATTGTGGAAAACTTTGGATTGAGTGAAACATGCCATTGACGATAGATATGGCGAATATTGTGTGGTTGGATAATATTATCATACATTCTTCTAATCATTGAAAATCCCCAAGTGACTAGATTAAGAATATAGTGTTGTAACGAATTTATTATTATGTATTTATATTTAATATGAACGTTGTTTGGATTGAATTTGTATTTAGAAATATGCGTGACTTGTAGTATCAGATATGTGTTGCGTATAACGAATTCGTTAAAAATATTTATTTTAATGTCAACGTTTGTTTCGAATAAGTTTGCATTTTAAGGAGTGTCTAGCTTACCGTGTTAGTTACGTATGGCGAAACTCCTGCCAATTCTCCAAGATTGTAGAATATTCGTGAACACAGAAATCAACAATATATCCACTTCCATAACCGGTTAAATACAGTTCCGAAGTTTCGAGAAAATGTGTCTCGCCTATAAAAACAGCAGGGCAACGCAACAAAAAACAAGAGAGAAGAGACAAGTCTACTAGGAAACTGTTATAACCGTGTAATCTATAAACTGTGATTTTGCTAACCCTTATCAACCGGAAAATATACAACATTTGACCAGGAACAGTTATAAATTT